CCAAGGCTGATTCCTGGGAGAAGTTCGGTGATGTGTTGGAGTCGAATTTCCACACGGCAAACAAAGTATTTCTAGCTGACCATCCGCCTGTTCTGAGGCGGAAAGAAGGACAGTCTAAGAGTGTTGAAAGGCAGGTCTGCACACACACTTAGCAAAGATGATGACAGTCTTCAGCGATGGAGAGAGTTCTTGCGGAACCCCTTAACCTTGAGCAACAGCAGGAAGACTCGCCTGTAGAGCAGCAGGGAACAGATGACGCTATTTCAGTAGATGAAATAATGCAAGCTGTGAAAAGCTGGAAAAATGCAAAAGCTGCTGGAGTTGATGAAATCCGTCCTGAGATGCTGAAGGCATTAGTCGAACAAGGCATCTGCTGGCTTACACGTGTCTGTTAAATTGGAATGGCTACGGGAAAGACACAACCCGATTTGAGGACGGGGACAGTTGTACGCTTGTTCAAGAGGGGAGACTACAGGGAGTGCTTCAATTATAGGGGCAATAGATTATTGAGCTTCAGAGGTCAAGTCTAAGCAATGGTGTTAGGAAAGAGATGCCGCAGAATAACTGATTCAAAGATACAAGAAGTGCAGTGTGGCATCCGGCCCGGTCGACGAATCTCTAACCATATATTTGCCCTGCGCCAGATTGTTTAGAAATTGTGGGAGTACACCCGTCCCGTGTACATGTGTTTTGTTGACCTAGAAAAGCTTGTGACTGAATCCCCGCAGCAATTTGTGGTCATGCCGTGAGTATACGCCATAGATAGCCAGCTGCTAAGGGCTATCCAATCACTGTATTCTGATACCAGGTGCTGCGTCAGAGTAAATGGCGATAACTCAAAGCGTTTCAACGTTGGCAGTGATTTCGCCAATGCTGCGTCCTGTCACCTCTCCTGTTTGTGTTGTACGTGAGTACTATAGCCAGGAGCAACCAAGGCGATGAGTGTGTCGGTGTAGGAGATGTGAAGACGAGAAAGTTGCTGTTTGTAGTCGGCTTTGTTTTATTAGCATCTCCTGAAATTGATCCTCAGTGCTTCCTAGAAAGATTCGCATCCGAGTGTGTCGTGGTCGTCGGGCCATGCGTGTGAGCGCATTTAAAACGAAAAGTTTAGAAGTTTCTTCTCCTGCCCATTGCTCTCTTCAGATTAACGGAGAGGCAGTGGAGAAGGTGCAAAAGTTCAAGTCCTTCAGAATTGTATTTACTAGTGATGAAAAATTGGAGGAAGAAATGGACTAGCGAATTGGAGTAATCAGCGATGTTCTGCGTGAACTGGTCTGATCCATTGTGACTAAAGCAGAGCTCAGTCTGGAAACGAAGCTCTCAGTGTTCAAATCGATCTTCATCCCCCCTGCTTACCTAGAGTCACAAGTCGTGGACTGTGACTAAAATGCTCCAATACTGGATTCAGGCCGCTGAGATGAGCGTTCACAAAGGAGTCTTTGGCTTTACGGATCTGGAGATGGTCCGGTGTACAGAGATCCGCTTGAGCCTTGGTGTAGAGCCGCTGCTTCTTCAGACTGGGAAGTCACAGCTGCAATGGTTTGGGTATGTGTTGCGAGTTTTTCAGAAAGGAAGACAAAGTACGTTTTCTTGCCTATTCAACCGTCAGAAGAACGTCTAGGTGACGGCCAAGATTAATCTGGTGCATGTATATGGAAGAAGTGCATTCCGGACTACAGTTGTCTTCTGCTGAGGCTCAAACTTTGGGAAGGTTCGGGAACGTTGGAAGCATTGTCTGATGCATCTGCCTCCGCGACCCGAAAATTGAAGCGATCATGGAAGATTATGAAGATATAAATATTGAATATTTGGATTTATTTTTTTCCGCAAAAAATGCACTTATTTTAGAAATTATTTTTAAAATTTAAATTCAAGCAAATGTGCTATCTTGCTAAGAATTTTAAAAAATACATTATTTCAATTGGGAAGCCCTAGGAGGACGTTCAATGAATTTAATATATCATACATTTTATTGTAAATGCTATTTGGTGATTAGAACTTTGGCTTTACTTGATGATCCTAATGCATCGTACGGTATAGTTAATTAACCGTTCAAATTTCTCTTGATTGTGCTTTTTTTTGTTAAGCGTTACGTGTCAGAAGCAGTGTAGATGGCATCCGATGATCCACCAAAGTAATGTCTAAAAGAAAAATTTGCTTAATATTTTATGACGGCGTTCACAGGTATGGGCTGATCCTGAGGAAAAGCAGGAAAGATACAATTCGTGTCAAGCCATCAGTCTTCGAAGACTCTGAAGAAGAACAGTTGGTGAGAATATTTTTTTGACATAATTAAATTTTTTCTGCTGTTTATGTATGTAAATTTAACTTGCACAGTTAGAAAAGCTATTTGAGCCGTAAGTTTGTTCACCGAACTCTGTAAGCAGTTGACGTTAGTGTTTAAAACTAAGATTCATCACCCGTGTTGCTTAGAGATCTTGACATGAATCCATATTGAGAGTAGGTCACACAGAGGATGAAAGTGAATCCATTCCACCACTGAAACCAAGAGGATGGGTGGTAAAAAAAATCTAGTCGGTAAAGCGAACACTAGCTAAATTTGGTCACTTATCGGAAACTGGCGTGCCCTCTTTAGAAAGTTTCCCAATGAGGCTTCATGTAAGGAAAAGCGCATATGTAAAATGCGTAGACCAGCTGTAGGTCTGAACCAGGCAGAAGGTCACTTATCTCATTCTTGTTGCAGAACGTCGTTCACGAACCCATGCGGTTCTAAAATTTAACGAAATGAATGAGTTGCAGATCGTATCAGTATTTCAGCCTCTGTTACTCACATCTTCGTTTTTCAGCATTTTTCTGTTTAAAATCTCTTGCAGCTTTTTATAGACACCCACTACCCATTCATTCAAGAGATATTATGCTAAGAAGCCGTTAATGTTGCTTGGAACATGGAAATGCGTCAGAATCTGAATAATACCAACTGAGATAGTGTTTGATGTCTTCTCTGTTACACGTACATCATGTGATCAGTGAGCTCTGTAATAGCTCTAAATTCCAAGTAATCAGTTTTAAACAGAAGTTGAAACG